AGTTTGATAAATATAAAAAAATTATTGAAATAATTGATTTTTAAAATAAAATTGATGAAATAAATAATGAAATAAAAAAATAAATTTTCGTATAAATAAAATATTATGAATTTTAAAATACAAAGATTTCTACAGATTTCTTTCTAAAAAAATTATAGTATAGGATATTCATATACAATATACATATATATGATATAAAAATAAAAAATTATATTTTGATACAGCAAAACCTATAATTAAACAAGTTACGCATTTATTTTTCTTAATCCTATTCCCAAATATTTTTCATCCAAGATTAAATATGGTACAAATTGGTGCAAAGAAAAATTATGTACATTTTTAAAAATATCTTTTGAATGCATACAAATACAAAATTTTCCTTCTTTACAAGAAAAGTACAATAATGTTATACAACGACTAACTAATCTTATTTTACATATATACATATGCATATAAAATGCAATACTATATATGACTATAAATAATTAATTCTTGAACACACACAGCATTAATTTTAACATAATAGTTTGTAATTTATTTTATTCATTTGATTGATTGATAAAATAAATTTACAACAAGTAAAGCAAAATAATTGACATAAAATCCTATAAGTCGCAAAACATAAGAAATTTTCAAATTACATTAACGTTTCCATTAAAATTTGTCTATAAAAAAGGTACTTTCATATAATACATATTACAATTAGATATAAGTGATATAACAATAATATAAATGCAACTGATAAGGAGCTTATAAGTCACAACGCAGGGTTTTTTCGCGCAGTAGTTATATTTAAATGTACATATATAAACAATAAATTATAAATTCTGTCGAAAAACTGGGCTACTTTCAGTATGTTAAGATAACGATAAGAGAACAAGTGTATAATTTAAAGTAATAATGAAGTATTAATATGATGAAACTATTATTAGCGCGATAAGTACAAAGATTTCCACAGATTTATCTTTGAAATAAATAGAATTATCATCTTAAAACAAATAAAATTATCTAGATGCTATAAATACAGTCATAATGTATTGGGTCTATGATGATTCAATTTTCTTGCCATTCCTTTTCCATTGTATTTTTGCAATCATTTCTATTATATTTCATATAAATATTGTGTAAATACAAGAGTCCCAGACATAATTTAAAATTATTGTAAAACTAATATAAACCGCTAAATTATGAATTACATAGTAAAGAAATTTTTTAAATAAAACAATAACTATGTTAGAAATAACGATTACTTCATAATTATATCGAGTTTAAATACATTTTTCAAAAATCAGATAGAAAACAGAAACTTATTTTAACAATATGTGTAACGTGTCCGTGGACAAAGTGATCGATGTCATGATAATAGAGAGATTTTTTTTATATAAATGTAAATAACTATTATATTATTATGTTAAATATTATAGAAATACTTCCAAAGTCACAACAGCGTTTGCATATAGCGTGATATGAAGATGAAAATATAAAAAAAAATAGCTAGATATATTAATTGTCATAAAAATTTATTACATTTAGTTTAAAATCAATATGTTTTAATGTCACATTTAATATGCGTTCAAGATGAAATTGAAACACAATAGTACAAATTAACCATAATTAAATATAAAAATTATAAAAAGCAATTCTACATACATCGTAAAATGCCAATCCACGTAATTTTTCAAGAATTATTCTCTTCTCTTTTCCCATTACACGTTTCTTTATTTATCTCCTTTCTATAATAGCTTCTCCGTCTCGGCCCTCTCAATATCTTATTTCTTTTATAATTTTTTTTTAATTTTTCGTGTGTCATTTAACATTTCTGTTGCAGCTTCCTCATGGCACATGCAATAAAGTTTATTGAATTAAATAAATTTGAATTTTATTGAATAAATGCATTTCTTCAGAATTCACATTTCCGGTAAACATTTTACTCGAAATTTGTGTAAATTCGGGATACGGTCCGGGTAGTAAGATCGTTGCAATACTCAATTGCCCAATTCTCGCCACATTTACCTGTCTGTCGAGCTTGTCTCGTAAGACTAGTGTTTAGGAAATCGATAAGCCGAATTAACCATGATTAACGCACGAGGGATGTGGGCAATAGCGTCCCAGAAAATGGATTGCCTCACGTCGTGTCTATCAGCCGCGTGATTTGCACACTTGGTGTGACACAGACTATTGTGGTTCGCAGAGTATTGTGATTATGAAGGCCTCGTCGACGTTAGACGCGCGTTAAACGTGACACGAGAAGCTGGTCGTATTCGCAACGATCTCACTGTTGGTCCCGCATCCACTGTCGAACGTAGCAAATCGCCACAGTCTTTTTTATGTACCATGAAGATGCAGCAACCGAGACATAAAATGACTCTTGAAACATTTAGAAGATTTCTCTGAAGAGAAATTGAAATATGTGATGGGTGGAATTTATTGTAGAAGAAAAATCAAAAGGAAAGATTGTAGAAGAAATATCAGGAGTACACGTTGGGAAAAAAGAAAAATGAATAACGCTGGAATAAAAAAATAATAAATATTAAAATTAATAAATATATTCGCAACGATTTCGCTATCGGTCCCGCTGCGTCGATCATAGCAAATCATCAGTCACTTTGCGTGTCGTGCAATTTGCGTATCGTGTCGTTTGCACTTTTCATGAAAGATTTGCAACAAGGATATATAGATATGTGATGTATGATTCGCGAGGCGTCGAGAAAATTTATGCAAAGAGAAATTGACGAAAGCGAAGGAAAGAATTTCTGCAGAAGGGTGATCAAAGAGAAACTTGTAGGTATCTCTTAGTCACGAATCGCGGAATTCTAATAGCGGAGATTGTGGATAATTGTAAAATAAAGATTTAGTATAATTTATATATTTTATGAATAAATACGCAATTATAGGAAGAAACATGGTAGCATTTTTGTAAAATTAAAACATATGTGAAGTATTTAAATATCATGTGGAAGAGAAATTAATTAATTCAATATAATATTTTGTTTTATGTAAATTCGGATTTTTAAGGTTACTTTTACTGATATCTAATAATACATTGATGAAAATTTGAGGAAAATATTGAGATCTCGTAACGATTTTTATTGTGACATGCAATTTCTATCGCTTCGTTGAAAATGAAGGGAATTGGGGTAACTTTAGCTCCTATTTTGTAATTCTTACAATTAACGACAATAACTATAAATATCGTTATATATTGCCATTGAACAGATTTCATACATGAAAAAACTACGCAACGATAATATAATGACATTGACACTGTCATTGAGAGTTACAGAATAAAAGCCTTTATCCCAGAAATTTTGACATAAATTATAAAAATACATATGCAATACATATGTCCAAAATTATGACATAAGATTTTTAAAACTTCTTTAAAACAATAGTTCGATCAATTCTTTATAAGATTACGTTTTTAAGATATTACATGTCCAGATTTTGCGTTGTATTGTCAAAATTTGGACTAAATTTATTCTAATTTTGGATAAAAATTATTCCATTTTATGGTATTGTAAAGGAAAGAGGACTGCCGATTGGATAGCAGGGGATGTGATGGAGGATCCTTCTATAAATTAACTCGTTTTTATCAAATTAAATGAAAAACGTATATGCGTAATTCGAGTGTAACATATTTTATAATTTTTTTGTATAGTATGTTGGTTTAAAAGTTAAAGAAAAAAGGAAAATGGAAGAACTGAAATAGCAAACTGATGTTATTTGTCGTCATTTGACATATTAAAATGATGTCTTTATATCAAAATATTATTTTGATATAATTGACGGAGGTGGTGGAGGGCCTTTACAATTTAAATTGTATTTGCCACATAATCTGAAAAATGTATAAAAGTAATTTGATTATAACGTACTTTATGACTTTTTTGCATAGTAAAAATGCATTAAAAGTAAAAAAAAGAAAAGGAAAGAATCCTCAAATAACAAGCTGATCTTATTTGTTGTCATTTGACATCAACATATAGTCTAATCTAGTATAAACTAATAAATCTATTGTGCATGTGCAAAAAATCGTACTTATATCCGAATACACTTATCGTCAGTATATTTATATAGCTCCTTAGTTCTCAATTGTAATTATTCACATAAGAAGA